TTCTTTCTTTCTTTCTTTCTTTCTTTCTTTCTTTCTTTCTTTCTTTCCTCCTTCATCCCTTTCTTCTTCCTTTCTTTCCTTCCTTCTTTCTCTTTCTTGATTAAGGCTTACTTTACTTGGGCCAATGAGGATGAAAAGACTGAATGTTCAAGACATAGGAGATAATTGATGGACAAGGTTCTTGAGGATTTAGGTGTGAGTGGGAAAAAGCCAAGAGCATGTGTGTCTTAGGGGTGGAGGTAAAGATTATTCTTGTTAAAAAGGGAGGTATTTCTTTCTCAGAGATTTATTTGTTTTATCATGACTGAGGCATATATTTATTTGTGGGGTAACTAGATGGTACAGTGGCTAGAGCACCAGGCCTGGAAGATCTGAGTTTAAATTTGGCCTCAGACAATCACTAGCTGTGTGACCCTGGGAAAGTCACTTAGTCCCTATTTGCCCCAGTTTCTCATCTGTAAAATGAGGACACAAAGGAGAAGGAAATGACAAACCACTCCAATGTCTTTGGCAAGAAAAGCCCAGACAAGTCTATGGCGACACAAAGAGTCAAACACAACTGAATGACTAAACAAGAATGATACTTATTTGAGAGTAGTATGAAGATTCTTTGAACACAATTGATCACAGTTCTCTAAATCTTTTGCTATACTAAATACAGGATAGTCGTTAGCAGTGATTTTTATATCAGTAGCTTAAAGCTTCTAATTCTTTATGTACTTCAAGGCTTACACCCTCTGTTGTAATAATTTTTTAAATGAGGTAACTTTTCCTTCCCATGGCTTCACTCCTGTCTGTGGGTGGGCAGAGTTAAAATCCAGATGGAGCCTGGAGACTGTTCAGCAAACAAGTACCTAGGGGACCAGATTATGAGCTGTCTTGACCCATGTCATGATGATGATGTAATATTCTTTTTAAAAAATTTTTAATTTATTTTATTTTTAACATGTGTTTTTAAAACTTTGGGTTACAAATTTTCTCCCTTCCTCCCCCCCACCCTCATTGAAAAGGCAAGCATCTCGGTACAGGTTATAGATGTATAGTCGTGCAAAACACTTCCATAGTAGTCCTGTTGTGAAAAACTAAGTATATTTCCCTTAATCCTATCCTACCCCCCATTTATTCTATTCTCTCTTTTGACCCTGTCCCTCCTCAGAAGTGTTTGCTTTTGATTATCCACTCCCCCAATCTGCCCTCCCCTCTATCAACCACATGCTCTCTTGTCCCCTTCCCCCCCTTTTTTTCCTGTAGGGTAAGGTAGATTTCCCTACCCCATTGTGTATGTTATCCCCTCCTTAAGTCAGATCCTATGACAATAAGATTCACTCATTTCCTCTCATCTTCCCCCATTTCCTCTCCACTGTAAAAGCCTTTTCTTGTCTGTTCCATGTGAGATCTTTTACCTCATTCTACTTCTCCCTTTCTCCTTCTCCCAGTATAATCCTCCCTCACCCCTTAATTTTATTTTCTAGATATCACCCCTTCATCTTCAACTCACCCTGTGCCCTCTATCTATCTATCTATCTATCTATCTATCTATCTATCTATCTATCT